AAACTAACCAGAAAAGTAGCAAAATATGTAAGTCTGCCAGAAGAGACAGCAAATGTGCAGAAAGTGTCTAGAAATCCGAGTACCCAAGACAGAAGAGTCTGACAAGATTCATGGATGGGTACTTCCAGCTACCCGGTCTTTTGACAGATAGATATCTTCCCATCTTAAGCAACCCAGACATGATCTAAAAGTCCAGGAATTGCAGACATAATTTAGAAATTTCTCATCCAATGCATCTTGAATATAGCAAGTGTTTAAGTCACACTATTAATTCTAGAGCAAAATTCTCTAATGTAACTAAAACAATCCTCATTTATCATGTACACATTAACAGCAAATATTCCATTTAAACCAACTGTTGAAGCACAAACTTAGCTCCTTGATAGATTAGTTTGACAACCTATGCAAATAATATTTATCTTTCCATATCCCACACAACCTTCTGAAAAACATGGGAGTTTCCCACATTTGGTACATCAACTAGTGAAGAAAATAGTCAAGTCTTTACCTCGATTGTAGGATTACATAACTCATGTAGAATATAAATTTTTAATGTCAAGGGAAAGGACTACAGGGTTTTCTTACAGTCCAGTTTTTTTCATAACATGTACATTTACTGTTCTTGTTTTAAAAACTTATTTGAATGCATTACATGTAAGGTAACATTCCTGAGAATTTCTGTGAGATACAATAGAATAGGATTTTCAACTGATCAGCTTTCATTTTAGACCTGTCAGTCTCAGGTTACTCTTATTCCATTGGATTTTAGTGGTATATTCCTAGATCTAACCTAATAGTATAGTGCTATGTGAAATTTCACAGTTTACACACTAAACCTTGTACATTTTAAGGAATGCAATCATGACCCAGTAACCTACTTGCAACAGTGATTAGAAAGAGGTACAGATACAAAAATAATATTGTTGAGCACTTTTAATACAGCTAATTAGCCAAGATGCTAAATCTTTCAAGTCAAAACGTCTATTCCTTAATTTACACAGATGAATGACTTCAGTGGAAGCAACAACCCTGGCAAGCTTAAAAGGCAACCCTGCATCAAGTCTATTTCAAGTAACACCACAGCACTGCCACATTCTTCCTCAATGAACATCCCTTCTGCAGTTTTGTAGTGCTGAAGCACAAAAGAGCATAATATGCAAGACAGGCATCCTTTACTTTGACAGTTTGGCTGAAATGTTCTAGTCTTCAAGATTACCTAAGAAATTAAGATGAAAAGTAAAAATTGTAGACTGTTAAAATAAGGTAGAAATAGGTACATGTGTAATGATACGAGCTTAAAACCATATTGCTCATGCAATGATTAGGACAATAAAAATATTAGCAATAAGCAAACTGAGTGAATCTGGAAATACAAATTAATCCATCTCCCATCAACGCTTTCATTAACCTCCAACATTTTGGCAAAGCCTAAATTTTGTATGTGATCGTGCAAGTACAAAAATACCAAATAAGGACAAAACTCCAAAAAGGCCTCACTCATTTGTGCTAAAACTGCTAGATGTTGCCTACACAATTCCAAGACCTAATGGAGATATTAATGCTCCAACGCTCGCCCAAAAAAAAAAAAATCAACGTATTCATTCTAATAGAAGCTTGTATGCCTGCTGTAGGAATTTTAGCTATGAATCTTTTTATTTGCAAGTCTCATCAATGTTTAGGAAAGGAAGTCCCTATAGGATGACAAACCATATTTGATCCCCACATATTAAATACAAATGATGAGACATTCACCAAGAAAGAGCCCTGGGAAATTCAGAACAGGATCTCTATACAATTCAGTCCTACTCCCCCTATCCTCCATGACTTTGCTTCCAGCTGCAGGGCAACAGATAGTTTCTGCACAACATATACTTTTGTTCTTACTATGTACTGTATTTGCACAGTTCATATCCATTCTTATGAAGGAACCTAAGCCCAGCGCATCACACTCTGATCATACATTGTTTAAGTCATCCCCCTCCCTCCCTTAAACTTCTTACCAGCATGACACGATTTAGCTGCAGGCAAATACTGCTAAAATAGTGCTTTCCAGTATTAGTCCCATCACTGCATTCAAGATTAATTTTAATGACAGTCGCAACAGCCGTGGCAGAAGTGTAAAAACACCCTCGAAATAGTCACAATGGTTAGTCCACAAATTCCTTCCATCGGCGCTCTCTCTGCTTTCTTAAGTCAGACACTGATCCAGCTTCAGCCCACTGCACTGTTTAGCAAGATCTGAATGTGATTCAGGTAACAGTCAGGATCACAGCGAGCTCTCTTATTTCAGTTAACGTGACTTGGTCTGGAGAGCCCCTTCTCAGTCCCTGTGTCAGCAGCCCCAGACCTGCACATTCCCAGCACTGAAATCCTCCTCTGCAGTGAAAAGTCACTGCTAAATCTGGGCAACTTAAGCCTCTTTTCTTCATAGAAGCCACACGCACACATCATCTCTTCAATGGACGACCAGAGCCTCTAAGCAGCATAGTTTGTTTCCCCCCCACCCCCCGTTCACTCAAATGTGTTGTGGGTTTATTTTTGCCAGTGCAGATTTGCACACTGGTTAATACATAATCGCTTATTTTGCTTGGCTGCATGATGAGACACCCCCAACTCGCCAAAGGAGCATCTGCACCAAGCTGCTTTTGCTGATGTGATCTGCATTTGGGGATAACGACTGGCGGAAGGAGGCAGAAAGGTTTGTGAACTGATTCTTCTTCCTAACACATCCCCACCCACACACCCTAGACGTGGCTGCAAAAACATCCACAACCACTGAAAGGGAATTGGTCTTAAATGAGTGCAAATGACATTGAAAAGACGACAGAACAGAAATGTGTTTTCTGTTGCACTGCATGATTTCACCAGCTGATTTCCTAGGTAGCGATTCCAGAGAACCTTCCCACACATTCCTCCCTGCCCCCCCTCCTCAAAAAAAAAAATCTTTGCTGTGCTATCTCCATTTTACCTCAAGATTCTTGCGCTAAGAAGAAACATCAAACCCTCTCTTTCCCCCCTCAAATATGCTGTCTCCATCTTAACTTCAGTCACTTTTTCAGAAATTTCATTTAGCAGTAAAGTTAACCCCTTCAGTTACCTATACATCATCATCCACAAAATACTTGCCTTCTATCTCACCAGCCCTTGCTGCCTTCTCCCCTCCTCCCCCACACCCACCCCAGCAAAAATACAATCCTCTAAAATCCATTTGAGGTCTTTTATCGCCAGGATTTATCCTGGAGATTTCAGTGCAGGGATAAAATTAACCCCATCAGCAACAAGCCCTTTGATTCCTCTGTGCCCCATCGCATAAAATGTCTCATTGTTGGTTTATCCCACATATCTAGCCTCTTCTGGAAAATATCTGAAGAGGCCAAATTAACCCATTTGTTTGCCCTATCAGACCCCTATTCCTCCAAATCTCCTTCCCAAATATTGTCTGTGATCTGGATGCCTGTTACCTCCACACTCAACTTGGGAATTTCATCCCATCCTCTCTCATCCATGCTTCTCACCCTCCAGCCTCACTTCTGAAGTCTCCCTTTTCCACACACACAGAGTTGTCCTAGAGGACATGCAGCAAAATAGCTCTGTACAATTATCCTTAGATCACCTCTTTCCCCAAAATCCCATCTCTGTGGGGTTCATTTTTACAAGCTCATTCTAGGGAACCCCTTCATGCTCCCTCCCAAATCTTTGTTGGGGGTATGCTGACCTCCAAAGTCATCCCAGAGATTTCACCCCCAAAACAGTTCCCTCCACTCCAACCGTGGAAATTTTCCTTTCCCTATCCCCGCTTCCTCTGCTATCCAAATCCTTCCCTTGAATAGTCTTTCCTACCTTCCCAGGGAAGTCTTCCTCCTCCTCTCCCCCTCTACCCCCAGCTTCTCTCTAGGGAACAAACCCCATCTCTGACCTCTAGTCCCTTACACCAGGAGATCTAAACACACTCCCCAATTCTCCTACACCTGCTGGAGGGGTGCATCTCTCCTATTACCAAAGATTTATCCAGGACATCTCACTACATTTTCCCCTCTTCCAAACAACGACCTGCTTCCCCCTCTTTGCTGAGTGTGACTAACCCTGGGAGATGCATCTTCCCCTCTTTCCCTTATCGAAGACCCATATCCTAGAGCTCACCCTGAAAGCAGGCAAGGATGTGAACCCACTTCTCCCCCCCAATCCCAGATCCAGGCCCAGAAGTTGTCCTAGGAGTAGAAATGAGCTAATCCCTATTTACACCACATTAATCCATTCAAACTATGTCCACATGTGCTGGGGACCGCTTCTCCCCATACCGTGCGCTAACTCTGGTGGGGATTGACCAGTTTCACCTCCCAACCCCAGCTATATGCCATGGAACATTCCCCTCTGGCACAGGAACAATACAACAGAGTTCTTTCTCCCTGGGTAGGAATGACCTCCACCCCACATCATCATCTCCTCTGCCTGGGATTCACCCCTACCCCCATAATCCTCCCTTCCCCATCTCTCCCCAGGCCCCTCACCTGCTGCTCCCCTTCTGTGCATGTGTAGGGGTGACTCTCCCACTCCCCAGGGCCTTCCCCCCCAATGTGTGTTGGGGGTTACAACTCCCCCTCTCCCTTGGCCCTTCCCCCCCCCAATGTAAGTGGGGTCATAACTCCCTCTCTCCCTTGGCTCTTCTCCCCTCCCCCATGTAAGTGGGGTCATGACTCCCCCTCTCCCTTGGCCTTTCCCTCCCCTCAATGTAAGTGGGGTCATAACTCCCCTCTCCCTTGGCTCTTCTCCCCCATGTAAGTGGGGTCATGACTCCCTCTCCCTTGGCTTTCCCCCCCCCTCAATGTAAGTAGGGGGTGACCCTATCCTCAAGCCCTCCCCCCGTGTAGGTGTAGGATTGACCCCCCTCCCCAGGCCTTTCCCCCCTCTCGTGTGCGTGGGGGGCTGACCCCCTTCTGCAAGCCCTTCCCCGCTGTGTGTGTGTTGATAGGGGTCGACCCCCTCTCTCCCCCCCCCCTTACCTCCAGACCTGTCCCATCTGCAGCAGGTGGATGACGGCCTGCCAGATCCAGACGGAGAGCCTGCAGAGGCGCTGGGCCCCCGGGGTGGCGGTGCCGGCGGCCCCCGGCCGGCGCCCGACGGCCCCCATCATGGGCGGCCCGCGGCTGCTGAGGCCCTGCACGGCGCCCAGCCCGCCGCCCGTGTAGTCCTGCACGAACCAGCGGAAGCTGAGGATCTGCACCAGCACGGAGGGCAGCAGCACGAAGGCCAGGGTCAGGCCGCACCACACGTAGTCCCGCCGCCCGTAGTGATGCAGGGCCAGCCACAGGTCCGTGCCCACGTCCCCCAGCAGCACCAGCAGCGCCAGCACGATCCACAGGCAGTCCAGCCACGGCCGCTCGCCGCCGCCCCCGGGCCCCCCCGGGGAGTGCGGCGGCCCCTCGGAGGAGGAGCCCGGGGCCACGCGGGTCCGTGCCCCCGCCGCCCCCGGCCCGGCCCCCCGCCCGCCCCAGCAGGCTCCGCAGGCAGGCGCTCCGGCAGCCCCAGTAGCACGACGAGGTGTTGCAGCAGTGGCAGATGTGCAGGGAGCTGCTGCCGCCCTGCTCGTCCGCCCCGTCGCCGCCGCCCCCCGCCGCGGCCGCCGCCGCCTCGTCCAGGTTGTGCAGCTGGGCGAAGCCGACCCCCGCGCCCCCGCCGCCGCCGTCCGACTTGGCCGCCATCTTGCTGCCGCCGCCGCCGCCGCTCGCCGCTCGCCCCGCTTCTCCGGCCCCTCGCCGGGCTCCCCCCCGCCGCTTCCGGGGAGGCGCTTGCCGGGCCCCGCGCAGGATGGAGGGGGGACCCCTAGCGCCCGCCCGGCGAAGCGCGGCTCCCACGCTGCCCAGGAGTGGCTGCAGCAGCGGCCCCGTCGCCGCCCGCACCAAGGGCCCTCAGCCCCCTGCCCCCGGGACCTCCCACCCCAGCCCAGCCCTCCTGGACCAGGGACCCCTGAGCTCCCCCGGGACCCCCACCCCAGCCCTCCTGGACCAAGGACCCCTGAGCTCCCCCGGGACCCCCACCCCAACCCTCCTGCACCAAGGACCCCTGAGCTCCCCGGGACCCCACCCAACCCTCCTGCACCAAGGACCCCTGAGCTCCCCCGGGACCCCCACCCCAGCCCTCCTGCACCAAGGACCCCTGAGCTCCCCTGGGACCCCCACCCCAACCCTCCTGCACCAAGGACCCTTGAGCTCCCCCAAGACCCCCCACCCCAGCCCTCCTGCACCAAGGACCTTTGAGCTCCCCTGGGACCCCCGCTCCAGCCCTCCTGGACCAAGGACCTACTTCTCCCCCAGGATCCGCCACCTCAGCCCTCCTGCACCAAAACCCACTGCTCCCCTGGGATCCACCATCCCAGCCTCCCTAACCCCTGCACTCTGGACTCCTCCCTCCAGCACCCAGCTCCATTACCCCTGGCACCAGGGACCCAGCCAGACTGCCTCCTGGTCCAGTAATGTTAGCCCTGGGACCTAGCAATCTCTCTCCCACATCTTCCGCTGCCCCAGCCCTGCTGCTCCCTCCCCAGCTCCACCAGCTTCCCCTGCCCAACTTCAGCAGACCTGCCCTTCTCTGACCCAGTCATGGGACTCGCTCTCTGCTCTTCCCTTCCCCACACCCAGGTCTCACCGACTCTAGCCCCACACCTCTGATGCCCTGCTACTCTCCACCCCCAGCAATGCCCTGAGACTTTCTGCACAGGCTGCCCACACCCCATTACCAAACCAGGGTATTGCAGGTCACCAGGTCCATGAGCCCAGTTCCCCTGCCTCCTAGACACCATCTCTCCTGATGCCCGCTACCCCTAAGTCCCTAGTGTCCCCTAGCACCTCAGCCACCTCTTCCCCCTCCCCCCAAATACATACTCCCAGGTGGCTTCAGCCACTCTTTGGCCCCCAGCTACCTCCACCATCCCAGACCCCAATGGTGCCTTCACAAATCAGCCTCAGCTACCTCATGGCACCTCAAAACCATGCACCTCAGCCCCCAGTGCTTCTCACATCACCTGGTTCTCCTAATCCCCTTGTTATTACATAAGCATAAAGCCAGTCCTCTGCTCCCCCCTTTAGTCCATCACTTGCTGTTTAGCTTGGGTGGGTAGGGGGAGCCTTTGCTCCACCTCTTGGGGGCTGCCAGGTGGCCATCCCATTCATTGCCAAGGTACCCTGACCAGCCTACCCTCAGTGTTATGAAGCACGCGTTCCAACCAGCTCATCCTCCTGTCCAAGGATCCTGAGCAATCCTGGGCTAGCATCACCACCTCTCAGAAAGAAAAAAAAAACACCCCCCTATTAGCAAACAAAAGAGTTGCCTCCCTGCTCAGACTTTATAGGCAGAGACTGGGGAAGCTCCACCCCCAGAGTGGGCAGGGTTTTCCTGTCCTTAGCCTTGACCTTGGCCATGAAAGGCAGGATGCTTCAAAAGACCTGTTTATAATGAAAGATAGAGCCCGGCCCCCTAGTCTTTTCCTGGATTGGGGTTGGGCGTACCTCTTTTTACCCCTATTTTGGGGAGAAATTTAGCCATTGGTTCCATCTCCTCTGTTTACTTGCACTTGCTTTTATTCCATGATCTTTCATCCCTATATTGGCTCTTTTGTATGCTCAGATGCATTTTTCTCTTCTTGGAAGTTCACTGTCTCCCTGTAGGCTCTCCTCCCTTCCCTCTCTTGCTTTTTCTGTACAGGCCTGTATGCTCCCCTTTGGGTATACTCTCCCCTTCCATTTTCTGCATCTGTTTCCATAGGCATGCCCTCCTTTTCTAGTTCTCCATGTCTCTCTTGCTCTCTTTGTGGGCAGGTGCTTCTCTCTTTCCAAAGACCTGTGCTTGCATGTTCTGTTCTTTCTCTTCCTGAAATCACATTGGTGACAAATACCAGAGAAGATTTGCCAAAGGGATCAGGTAATGTGGTGGTAATGTGTCATTTTTGCACACTGCAAAGCTAATCTCAAGGGGGGGAAACTAAGAAAAAGTACAAACAGTTACAAATGGTAGTTTGCTGTGTTGTTGTAGCTGTGCTAGTCCCATTATATTAATAAGTGAGTTAATATCGTTTATTGGACCAACTTCTGTTGGTGAGAGAGAAAAATTTTCCAGCTACACGGAGCTGAAGAAGAGCTCTCTGCAAGCTCAAAAGCTTTTCTCTTTCACAAGCAGAAAGTGGTCCAATAAAAGATAATACCTCACCAGTGTTGGCTCACAAATGCTAATGGAGGAGAAGAGAGAAATCGCTTGAACTTGAGACTAGTGAGAGAACAGTAGTAAATATTAAACGAAGTGTAGTAGGAAAGGGATCTGTGAAACAAGTCTGTGGCCCTTTTCAAATGATTCATGGGAAGTTCAAAAGTTCCATGAAGTTCTAAAACATACTGCTGCTCTTGAAATAGTCAGATGAGCTGGCACTGGAGAACCTGAGGATAGGAAGTGAAAAGAAAAGCCTTATATATTGGCTAGGCTGTCACTCGCTCTCTGTATGTGGTCAGGTCAGAGGTCATTAGTACTACATGAGAACCTAATGAAAATTTCTTTAGGTGGAGAGCAATAGTATTAAACATTCTTGGAACAAAGAGAACATGATAGAATACTGCAGGACCCCATGCTACAGACTTCAAAGGCCACAAGATTTTTCTTGCTTTCTGCTGACTTAAGCTATGTTATGAGACCAGGCAGAACTATGAATATGGAAATAAATGACACTGAGACCCTAATCCTCTGTCTTGGCTGACAAAAATTAACTTACACTCAGAGGAGAAATGCTTATATTTGGGGATCATTCTTCTGCCTTGCAATTGAAAAGCAAACCAGAGAATCGGCAGGCCAGTTCTGAGAAGGAAGGACCCTGAGACCTGTTATTACTAAGAAGCATCTTTATTGTGGATTAAACTATTTCACGGTCTTCAAGGTGAGTGGAAACACTTCTACTTTATACCATATTGCAGTTGGTTACATTTCATTTTTAAAAGGATGCACAGAAATACTCTGCTGTGTTCATTATTTATATAGCACTATAGGTGCCTGCTGCATGTCATTGACACATAAGGAGGCCAAGACCCTTAACAGTCTCACTGACACAAAAGCAATTCAAACAGTTAAGATCCAGCATGAGAAGCAGAGCAGACAACAATGAAGGGGGGCCAACAGTGGAAGGCTAACGGAGAGAAGTGGTTTTTAAGGAGAGATTTGCAGGAGGAGTAAGAAGTTGTTTTGCATGGGGGAGAAAAGATCTTCCAAGTCAACAAAGGAGTGCGAGGGCGGGGGGACAGACGTGGTGTGAAGTCAAGTGTTGGATAAGGAGACAAAAGGAGCACTAAGGAGGGGGAGAAAACTATCACTTACCGTACATTAGAGGCCATGTTTAGGGAAGCATTTCATTAGACATAGTCTGTCTTCCCCCTAAGCATGATGGACCATAGAACAGGGACATTGTTGTCAGCTGACAGCATCCAGAGACGTTTTTTCCTAATAAGTGATCCTATCCATTGATGCATAAAGAGAAACTTGATTTAAAAATTGTCTTTCTTTCTGAAACTGTTTTACGTAGTATTGCTACCTAAAATTACTCTACCCGAAACAGATTAGAGAAAATAAATAATCTCTCTATTTTTGTCCCGTTTATTTACTTAGTGCATTTTGACAGCTCTCTGTTTCACTGGTTTCCCGGTGTATAGTCCTTTTTCCCCCCATCTCCAAAGGGTGTTTCAAAAGAAACAAAGAATTTGCCCAGAAAAATGATAAAAGACAAAAACACCATATCACCAATGGGTGAACACTTTTCACAAAACCATCACTCCAGTTCTGACATTGTCCTCAAAGGAAACCTGCACAACACCTTCAAGACAAGCCTGGGAGCTTAAATTCACAACTTTCCTAGACACTAAAAATCATGCTCTTAATAAAGACACTGGATTTATAGCTTATTACAACAGTCTGTAACGCACAGCCCCCCCCTTTTTTTGTTCTATGACTGCAGAATTGTTAACAGGCTACTTTACTTTGCATAGCCTCTTACAGCCAGTGTTAACTAGTTAGGCTAAACAATTTATGCCACCTTGTATTTTAGCTGTGACCCACTCAATCCTTTTCCACGCCTGAAGAAGAGCTCTGTGTAGCTTGAAAGCTTGTCTCTCTCACCAACAGAACTTGATCCAGTAAAAGGTATTACCTCACCCACCTTGTCTCTCGAATATCCTGGGATCAACACAGCTACAACAACACTGCAAACAAGGGAGAGGAAAACATTTAATAAAAGAGGAAGATGTGATTACAAAACCACAGACTCTGGAAGGGGAACCTGGGACAGATGTTGTGGTCACTGTGGGACTGAAGAGGAGAGAGAATGCAGGAGAAGCCTTGGAGGAATTTTAGTTGACTCAGGCAGAATCCCCCAGAGATTCCAAGGCAGGGCACATTGAAGCAACAGCACTGTCAACCTTTGATAAAGGATGCAGCATGCTCTCTTCTCCCCCATCCTGTGCCACAGGGGGGAGGGAAGGGGCACACAGTCCCCTGTGGCTAGCTATGCAGGCCACACTAGCCAGGAACAGTGGCTGCACTCTACCACCTCACTGTGCATGGTCACTGCAACCGGGCGCTAGGGAGACTTTTTGCTCCTCACCCTTGGGGACCTGCACAGGGCTAGCCACAATTCGGCCCTGATTATGCTACTGGTGTTTATTTAAAGCTAAAAAGCAAGGTGATGGGGAAGTCACTTGTAATCTGTCTCCATAGATATATAGGCTGATCTATACATTTGCCATTTA